CACCAAAGTGCCTGAGGAGGAAGGTTCGGTGGTTGAAGGTCACAGCCAATCCATCGGGGCTGAACTCAGGGGTGGGCAGCCCCTGGGTGACAGCAACGAGCTCCAGGGTCCTGCTTGGGCACAGCTGATCCCTCCAGGCTGCGGGGCCCGCGCTGAGAGGCAGGGGGTGGGCAGGGGGCTGCGAAACCTCCCCACCAGCTGTCCCCCCTGTGCCCTCTTCTATATATACCCCTTGTGCCATCCCACTGTGTCCATTCCCATCCTTCATTCTCATCCCTGTGCCCACCCCAGCACTACCCCCATGTGCCCACCATCCTCCTTGTGCCCTCTAATCCTCCTTGTGCCCCCTGCTCCTCTGTGCCCCCATCCCAAGCTCCTTGTGCCCACCACATCCCTGTCTCCTGTTCCCACTCCTGTCCTCATCCACTTGCTGACTCCCTGTGCCCATTCCCAAGTGCCCACCCTATTCCTACCCCTCTGCGCCCCCATCTCCCTGTGCCCCACATCCCTCTGTGCCCCCTCATCCCACTTCTCACCTCATTCCAATCTCCCTGTGCCCTCCTATCCCCCTGTGCCCACCCCATCCCTGTCTCCACTCACTCCCTAATTCTCTCCCTGTGCCCATTCCCAAATGCCCACCCCATCCCCCCGTGTTCCCCCGTGGTACCCACGTGTGGTGCAGGGTGGGCAGCCCGCAGTGGGCGCGGTGGTTGGACAGCAGCCGGTTCTCCAGGTCGATGGAGGTGCTGCCGATCTCCTGGTCTGGGGGGAGCCGGTCACGGTCCAGCAGCGTCACCTTCAGGTCCTTCTCCAGGGGGATGGTGGCCGTCATCTCAAACATCCTGGGGGGGTGGAACGGCATCGGCACTGGGACATGGGGAGTGGGGGGCACCCCAGACCCCTCCCAGACCCCCTCATATCCCCCCAGAAAACCAACACCCCCCCAACTCCCCAGACCCCCACCCAGACCCACCCCCAGAAACACCTAGACCTCCCCCAGACCCTCCGAGACTCCTCCTAGGCGCCCCCAGATCCTTCCAGAAACTCCACAGACCCCTCCCATATCCCCCAAAACAACTAACTCCCAACCCCCCACAGACCTCCCTGACCACCTTGAGACTCCCCTAGACTCCTCCAGACTCACCCTGACCCCACTCAGATGCCTCTCAGACCCCTCCAAACCCCATCCAGATCCCCTCAGACCCCCTCATTTCCTCCTAGACAACCAGCCCACATCGAGCCCCTGCAAGATCCCCATCCAGACCCACCCTCAGACATCCCTAGACCTCCCCTAGACCGACCCAGACCACTTACAGACTCCCCACAGACTCTCACAGATCCCACCCAGACCTTTCCAGACCATCCCAGACCATTCAGACCCCTCCAGAACCCCCTAGACCTCACCCAGATCCCCCCCAGCTCTTTCCAGAACCCCCCAGATCCCTCCCATATACCTCCAGACAACCAATCCCCTCAACTCCC